AAAGGTTTTTTAAACTATACTGCTTAACTTCCAAATGTTTCTTAAAGCTGGTATATACTAATAGTAATGATATATACTTATAGTACTGGTATATATTATATTCAAGGAAGTATACACATTAAAGGCCACAAATCAATATTTAAGCAAGGAACAAATTTTTTTTTTATATCTAACTGGATAAGACGACGTTAAAAACAAATTGGCTATATATAGAGTTGCCTTGAGTTATTTTCGATAATTGCGTTTCAACTTATTTCAACATCTTCTTTAAACAGATTTTGATGTTTTCAGTTCTGTTTGTCACAGTACTGAATTGTTAGATTCCAAAAAAACAAAATTCTGTCTTAAATATTGATATTGATTTCAAACCTGATATTTATCTTAAAAATACAGATATTTATTTTATTTTATTTTTGACAAGGATTTTAAAAACATGTAGTAAATGGTGCCATCACGGAATACCAAATATGTTATACTTTTATCAAGATATTATATTACTTCTAATCGTAATTTCAGTATAGTAAATATTTCTTAATAAATTTTTTTTTAAATTTTCTTTAGTAATTATATTTTTTAAATTATAAAAACGACCATTAAGAAAACAATAATTTTTATATGAACCGCATTTTCAAAATTTAAAAAAAAATTCTCATATTTACGTAATTTGATATAATTATTATTATTATTATTTTTTTATTATTTCCAATGAGCTGCACAATCGGTCTTGCCGATGAGCAGACCTAGTACGTTCTCCAGAGGTGGTATCCACTCTTTCAGGACCACCACAATGGGTGAGATACCGTTGGTCATGTTAATTTAGACGTCTAGTTTCTGCCACTCTAGATGGCAGCACCGAGACTCTATTTGGATGCTAAAGTGCACTAGGGATCATATAGGGATGCACTATATGATCGACAAAATTTTCTTAAAAGTGTGTTTATACTGATGTGTTTATGAACGAGTGACAAAGATGCGGAGTATCTTGGATTAATGCGCATATTTCTGAAATGTCTGAATTTTTGCACATAACGCACCAGTGTAACAATAGAATCGTAACTTAAAGGGATTTTTCCAGGAAGAGCAAAAATAAGTTCCCAATTGTTAATGATTTATCTCAAGAATTGTAGTTAAAACAGCTTCTTTACTACGAAATAGTACAACAAGAAACAGCTTTTCTTTGAGGAACTGCTTCGTTGTAAGGATTTTTTTCTACGTCAAATGTTGGTCTTAATTTAAAAAAAAAATTAAACCATGAAATTTTTGAGTTACGGCATTATTGTTTTGAGGGAGTGAAAAATTCAATCCACTCGAAAATAGACGTTGCAATTAATTTTAAATCCAACTTTACTCCTAAATCAAGTATTGTTAGAAATTTTGTCTTCGTGGAGGACGTTTTTGATGGAACTAACCCTCATTTGCGTTACATGGAGAGGAAGACCACGAGAACCTTCCACGGTTAAGCTGATGGCACGGGGACTCTAACCCATGACCCGTCAACCACTGAGGATATTTCCCGTTAGCATTGTGCTTCGTGCAATCCGGGTGCGGAATTCGTATCGACCAACCATCACTGGGATTCGAACCCGATTCACCTCATTAGAAGGCGAATGCACATACCTTTGTAATTTCAAGCTTCTAAGTCATATAATTTTTCACAGCAAAACGAAATGAAACGCTAAGTTGAATACCCCAAACAGCATCGTTCGCCTTACGAATTATTTTTTGGCTAAGAGATTACAGTTATCTTCTTCCTTAAGCTAAAAAGTAAACAGTGATTAAAAAACTTCTAACATAACTCACGTTTTAGTAGTAATACGATTGTCAATAAACAATGACATTTTTTTCCCATTAAGTGGCAGACTTTCTCGTAAAATTATTTACCTGTGCACAGTTAACTTTTTAATGACAGAATCATTGAGTCAAACAAGCCATAGTTCATTCTTTTATTCGAACATAAGACAACTGTTGTTTACGAGCTACTTTTGGTAAGTTCGACAAGCTAAGTCAGTTTTCAACCTTTTCTCTAGCCGAACTTCTTGTATAGAATTTAGTCAATTTTGTTTTGCATGTTGCCCAGCAGTTTATAACAATAAACGAAAACATAATCACTGAACATATTTGTGCAAACAAAATTCAATAAGCCAAGTGGTTTATTCATTTATGCAAACTTGTGAGCTCATTGATAAGAATGTTTATAGGCTCTTGTCAAGCAGAACAAAAAACACAAATTAGAGAAGGACACAGGGATGCATCCAGGGTTGAGGTGAGATTCAAACCAGCTACCATCAAGTATTTTGTGTTAGAGTTGCTTTTTGTACCACAAACAAATAGGTTCTCAGTTAAACATACGTTAAATTTAAAAAAAAAACTTTAATAGGATATTCATAGTTGCTTGGTTGCACAACTAAATTAAAAGTTTAGATCGAGGTCAGAGTTTCAAGCTTAGATACTTTTCAGTTAATTTCTCTGATAACAAAATGTAAGGAATGTTTTATGGCTTTTCTTGATTAGTTTTTGACAAAATTTATATGACTGGGCCAGAAATTAATTAAAGATTGACCTTTAAAAATAGTTTTCAGAGATTGTTGGATAACTCACTTTTCATAAAAGTTACATATATAAATTTCCATCCCTATCTAAAAGATTAATCAAGTTGTTTAATGTAGTCATCGAACGTTAGAAGTCGAATTCTTGGCCATCGATAGCGCCACTGGAAAACAAGAACTATCGCACCCCCTCTGCCTAAACAGGCATGCATCAACAACAACATCAAACTTTTACTTAAGACATTTCAGGTATTCTCAGGCATTTATTTTAATGTTCTTATTAAGTTTAACAAATTTTTCTGATAACAAGCTATTGAAGGAACCAAAACATGCGGAATCATTCCTCTGTGAAAACCTTAGATCCAAAAATTGATCATTCTTAAACATGGCTTTTAATTTATAAGCACGCTAAAAATAGAAGTACTTACTCCTTGTAAAGACAACTTTAATTCATTTAATTTAACAGATGGTAGTACACAAAATTTTGCGATGAAAGACTTTTGATTAAACAAGAGAACATATGAAATTCATGATCAAAATAAGTAAATTTAAATTTTCAAATTCATTAGAGTTCAATAATTATATGTATGTAAATCATTATTTCGTCATTTTTTTACATTAGCCATTTGAAATTAAGTCTCATTATAACAATATTTTTGAAATAACTAGCTTGAAAACAATAATCCAACAATGAAGTTTCCCTGAGTTTACAGATAGTTGTTTAGGTAAAGATATAATATCACAAATTTATTTTGTCTATTTCGTATTAATTATAAAGTAATAACTAATCAAAGCTACAAGTTTTACCTTAAATACTTCGTCAATTTCTATTCGACTCTCAAAAGAGTTGTCGGCTGGTTAAAAAATTGCTTTAAATTAAGCTACTTTTCTCCATAATCGGAAATTTATAATTTTCGTTTTAAAAGGTTTAATACTTAAAAGTTAAAGATATTTTTTGAGAAAATAATTCCAAAGTTTGTTATAATTCCGCATTTTCAAAGTATTTTTAAGATAAATTAAATTTTTTATGCACCAAGAAATCTATTGCTTTTTAAGCATCTTAAAAATGTTCCGTCCAACTGTATTTGTTGCAAACGGTTCTAAAAACTTATCCAGCTTGCAGGGTCTATAAATACTAAAGATTGCGTTTGAAATTATTAAATAAAATTCGAAGAATTAACTGGGACAATACATTTATTATAAATAAAACAGGTAAGAACTAACGACAAGTGCAAGACACAAACGTTCCATGAAAATTATAATCAAGTCAACTGATGCCACTCACAGCTTTTAGAAATAAAATAAATAATAAATAATACCGCGGTGGCCAAGAGTATAATTTTCTACAGTATTTGCTATCGCCGCATTTGAAAAATTTTCTGCTATTTTATCTGCAATTTTTTTTTACCCTAAATTTATATTTTCAATATTTTTTACCTCCACAACCAAAGCGAATTATAAAAAGTTTTTCTTTACGTTATCTCTTAACTGAACAGTCAAACTATTTAAATAACTCATCTTGGTATGCTAGTGATACTACGAGTACGTTTCTTGTCATAAAAAAATAAAATAGCATAAAAAATCAATAGAAAAGCATTTTGCATTTATACAATAAATAACGTCATAATTCTTCTCTTATTCAATCTATTAGTTTCGATGAATTTTCTTATTATAATGGAATGGAATTAAAATTACTTTTGTATTTCCAAGTGTTTTAAATGGCTTTGAAATCGTAGAGTTGGAATAAGGTTTAAAAGATCCCACCTTTTTATCAAACTATTCGTAAAAAAAATGCTGCCAGCTGAAAAATTGGCTGAAGACAGGACTAACGTCCAATGGGCTTAAGATCAAGCTTTTTGAAACTTAAACCCCATAGCACTTGGACATGCTTTAATTTTTAGGTACACGAAGAATGTAATTACAATTAGACTCTTTTACATACTTAATGCTCGTGTTCACTTCAAGCATTTAGAATAAATTAGATAATAAATAAATAAAACGGTTTTTTTTATAGATTTTATATTTTTGTGGTATTCAGCAATTTATTCATTGATAAATAAAATATTCCAGCTGTAATGATAACAAATTATGCAGATGGAATTATTCTACTACATCAACTAGCAATCAAGAATTGTAGTTAAATACTACATTTAAGTCTATAAAAAAATAAACTCTTGCAGAGAGAAAAGTTTAACTGCTGGCTAGGATTTCTTTATCAAAAAATTCCAGAAATGAAATCATTATGATTTTCTTGTTGTCATGGCGATTGAGAAATCAAATGATATAATTTTCAAAATGAAGAATATAGAATAGGAATTTTTATAAAATTTATTAATGTGAAGCTAGTAGATACATTTTTACACAGAAGTACTTTAAGAGGCATTACAACAGCACCATAACATTTATTATTTACTACCAATTTCCATAATTGTTTCAATGTATTTTGTCTATATTTTTTTAATTATCAGATGTATGCAATGTTTCAACTGTTCATGTTTTGGTTTATAAAATTCTTAAGAGACTATTGAATTTTACTGCTTTGTAAAAATCCAAGCTACGGATTTTTTGAATAGAAAACAAAATTTGAACACAATGGAATGCATAGAATTTTCTTATTACAAATCATGCATGCTGGAATATGTGGGATAATTTTCTTTTCTTCAACAGTCACTGACTTTTTGAACAAGCAAGTGAAAACAAAAAGATACATAAAAGAAGAATATGTACATACTTAAATAAAAGCATTAATATTTTCGAGAATAATCTCATCGTAATAAATGCCATTTGCATCACGAATAAAGTAACTGTATTCTCAGAGTATGTTAAGCCTACTTACGAATGGGATGCATTTTATATACTATGGATGCAAGATGGAAGATATCGCTTACAAGATTAGAATCTTTATTTTTTTATTGTGAAAATGGAAATAATGTCTTAGGAAAACTACATACTATATGCTAGTGTTTTATTCACAGTAACAATGAAAACGACTGGTTATAATAGTTCAACCAGTTGGTTAGCTTTATTTGCTTGTTCAGTCGTAGTCTTCTTCATGTCAATGCCAATGCGATTATCTGGATTATTTTTTGTGATTCTTCTAGATGGTTACAATACAGACAGAAAGAAGGCGTCAGTACCCATAGTTATTTTCGGCGTATTAAGGACGTTAACAGGTAAGCTAAGCAAATCTCTTTTATATAATTAGTCTTCCAATGTATTTTTCAGAACGGGATTTATTTCATATACAGTGCACAGTACGTAAAAATAAATAAATAAGCGAACCACCTCATACGGAAATAATAAAATAAACGGATCATAACTTTTGATCAAATGATCAGATCTTCACATTATAGGTCTCAAGCGTAATGGTTCGAAGGGGTGCCCTCAAACATGCTAATTAATTAGTGCGAGAGATATTTTAAGTTACGAAATCAGTGGCAAAACGTTCTTTCTCTGGATAATTTTGAAAGAGGCGTAAATTTTAGATTGAATCTTAGAACGTGAAGTCATTTTTAGATTAAATCTAGAATTGAATTTTGATGATTAAAATCAAAAGTTATTCAGGGTGATCATTTTTTTTTATTTTGCGTACTATGTCACATATGTGTGGGCATGCATAGAATTTTTCGGTAATTTCAAAAGATTTTCCCCTTAGTATTTTATTGTAAGTGCATCAAATAGATAGAAGAGGATTAAATAATTAGAAAAACAATAGCTCAAAAAAAAATTATTAATTCCCTCAAAACTTTCGACACAAGAGGTGTTTCGATAAATGGGTGTTTTTAGCAAACTACGCCAAGTTAGAAGGTTGTAACATTTGCATCTGTCATCATGAGTCCTTGGGGATACTTTTTAATTTCATTTAGCATGCAAAGGTCAAAGCAGTTCACGCTTCATGGAAAGTTAAAATTTAAAAATAACTTTATTTTGTTACTTTAAAAAATAAATTACTTAAACTGTGGAGTTTTTAGATAATGGTAAGAATTTCAAGCCACAATTACACTGAAAAACCTTTGGGAAGACAAATTTGAGAAAGAAAATTCAAAAAAAGAATTCCTCACCAAAAATGTTCAACGAATCATTAAACACGAAATGTGTTAGATTGATTCAAGATTTTGTAAATGAATTAATGAATCCAGATGAATTAAAAATTGCAAGATGGACAGAATTTCTTGTCTTACACTACCCCAAAAACAAACGAGATGAGATTGTGTCAAAATAAAAGACAGTACACCCTAAATACTGTACTGAATTGAACTATTATCACGAACTAGGACTCAGTCTCAAGGGCCTGTCATCAAATATGCTATTTAATTAGTACGGACGATATTTTAAGTTACGAAATCAAACACAAAAACGTACTTTCTCTGAAAAGACATACTTTCTATTTTTTGATGGATTCAGGCTTTAGAATCTCAAAATATGACCCACAAAATCAAATATTAGACCCTAAAAGCTCTTTAAATTAAAATCAAGAATTCTTTTCACGATAATTCTTAATGAATAGACCAATTATGTTGGATCTAAAGATAATTCTTTTAATGAAGTGAATAATTATATTTTTAGGGCCTTTTATAGCAGTTTTAGGAGAAAAGTTTGGTTTTCGAGCTGTTACTCTAACGGGATGTATTTTTGGTGCCATAGGAATGGGAAGTTGCTATTTTGCTGAGGATATTAACACAGCTACAGTTTGCATTGGTTTAGTTTACGGTATGTTTTATCTCAAATAATTACTATTGATTCAAACAAATTTTTTTAGCCACTAAAGATGTCGTTAAGGATTAAAATAAGTTTAAAAAACTAAGTTCTCAAAAAAGTTAGACAATAATACTCAGACTCGATTCAAATTCTATCAGATTATAGTGAATTTGCAACATATTACTCAATTGAGAACCTGCAAGTGACGTCATCATAGTTAAAGCGTGACATTCGGAACTATTCAGAAACCAATCAGGTTCGACACACACGTGTAACGTCCCTTGACGTTATCCAATTATATCTGATTTAAATCACATGGTTAGGCATAATCACTTCACTTGTCGAGCTGCAAGTACCCAATTTTCAATTAAAACTTCTACTGATGAGGTAAACTTTTTAAACTGATTTTTTTAGAATTCTATGCAATACTTTAAGAATGTTTTTTTTTTAATTATTTGGAAAGATTTTAATCTATTTTAAAATCTTTACTCAATATAAATACTTTAGTATGAATTTTAAGGCATAATACAATTTACAATAGCATCAAGAATCAATGGTTCATAAATCGGGATCACGTATTTTACAAATTTTTCATATAATATTTTGAAAGAATATTCTAATTGAAATAAAAATTTATGTAGGTTAAAAAGTGAAAATTTCGTTTGAAAAGATTAAAAGCATGGAGCATGGTACCGAGCAAAATTGGTTAAAATTTACAGCCCATCATAAAAAATAAAAAAAATTCTGAAAAATTTCAAGGCGTATTTCAATCTTTTTAAATTCTCATAAATGTTGATTTATAAAAAGGAGAACCGTTATTTTTTTCAGTCATGTGGACAAATATTTGAAAACGAAATTTTTGATGAAAAAGTATACAATCTATTATATAAATAATCATTGATATTTATGGTTACACGCGTTTTTTAAAATAGATCTTAAAAAATAAACTTATTTTTAAATATTCAAGATTTAAAATTCCAAAAATTCTTCATTGCTAATTATTAAAAATGTTACCTTAGTTCTGTAGCTTAGATTAATTTTTATCTATGAATCTTTAAAATATTAAGTATTTTACTTTTCGTACGAATTCAAATTTATTTCTAGCTATCTTTTCTTAAGCTGTAGCATTTCGTTTGGTATCTGAAATCTAAGGTTTTATTTTAAATTTAACTTCGAACGTGGACTTAAAAATTTTATATACTTTACGTATATTTATTACATTACTAGCCACCTGCAGTGACCAGCTAGTTGGCCTACACGTACTCATCACTTCACGTATACTTTGGTAAAAGCGTGTTGGTTAGCATTCCTATCTTTTAGACTAATCACCCAGATAATTACAAAATGAATCTTTGTTTTATTTTTCTTATTATCCCGTAAGGAATAAAGAACACATTGCTTCAATCTGAGAATTCAATCTTAGTAAAAATGCGCTATTTAGCTTTACAGCCAATTCCACTAATTACCCCGATAGTGACAAAATATATAAATTAAACTTTTATTTTTAGCTTTTTATTGCAAAAAATTCAATTTCAAATGTTTAATTTTGAGACTTCTTTCTTAGTGTGCTGAAAACATTACTATAATTTTTTTTTCAGTTTACCTATTTATTTCAGTCGACCGGCCTGTGTGTGGCCTCGCATCGAAAAGGTTCTGGGTTCGAATCCCGGGTAAGGCATGGATGTTCTTTCATTCTCTGTACTATCTGTCCTTACTGTGGGAGCAACATTGGCCCACCTAATATGGTGCCCTTGAAAGAGTGGTCAACAAATCTACCCTTCAGATGTCTGTATGACCTAGGTCATTCTCCAGGTGGGCATTGGAGAGAGAAAAACTATTTATTTCCTGAAGAACATGCGATCCAAACTTGAGACTTCAAATGCATTTTTTTTGTCGTATGCCTGTTTAGGCAGTGGGGGTACGATTGTTCCTGTTTTTCAGTGGCGCCATCTATGGCCAGGAATTCAACTTCTGCCACGCCATTCACACAACCACAACCCGTTTATAGGGCTGGTCACATTCACACACAAAGGAGAAAGCAGAGTTGGCCAAAAATGTAATCGATTACATTTTTTGATTACAGTAATCAATTACTTGTAATCATGATTACAATTTTCAAAAATTTTGATTACAGCTGTAATCATGATTACAATATTGATTACAGTAGTCAATTACTTGTAATCGTG